TAGACAATGACACAAAACATGGACAGCGTCTTACTCAGAGGGTCCTTTGCTAGAGATAAATCATTGTAAATTCAAATAAGTTGATTTTATCAATAATTTAGTGAAATTTCAACTGGTTTTAAAATATTCAGTATCAGTCTGTTTTTAAGGCAGCTATTTGAATGTAGTTTACATAAAGGAATATAATAATGGAGAAGAATTCAAAAAGATAGAACATTATGAGACTCTTTCCTCCATAATTTATAAAATAAAAGTTTTAATGTCTAAATTGTATTAATTACTAAAATCAGCCCACCTGTCTCCAACAGGGTCTCATAAACCAGTTGGTTTTGAGTTTAGCTTTTAAAACTGAGAGTATTAAACATCAAAAGTGTAGTAGCTAAAAAAATCTATTCTTTCATCAAAATGACTATCAGAGGTGATATTCAACTTCTAAATATTTCAGAATGAAAGTGATAGGAAAGTTACCTGAATGAAGTTTAAAACATTTGTAAAGCTGTATGTTCCTTGTAATAAAAGAGATGTGGCTGAGATCCAATAGTGGAAGTTAGATTTATTTTACATGGCAGGATGAAAATGTGGCTATGATACAACCTCCCCTCACTACAGAAAGAACTAGGTGAGGTCTGTTGTTAGGGGGATTATATGAAAGGCAAAATAGTGACTTCAGCAAAAGCAGTGAAACTGATTATAAACCCTTTGTCTGCGGAGGTGCGTGTTAGGGAAAACTAAGATGTATCACTTGAAATGATGACATCTGAAACACAAAAAAAAACTAAAAAAGAATTCTCAGTATACATAACTGGATGATGATGATATATATACAAATATATATATAATTTGTTGCAGGTAGCTTTTCATTGTTTACAGAAACTTTTTGTTAATTTTTTCTAATTTGAAAATCGAAGCTTGTTTACATTGATTGTTCAGATAATTTAGCATTTTTGACTCATGTCAAAACTACGGCGTCAAACATTCTAGTTTGTAGTTACTTTCAGAGTAGGTTCAGGGTTTTTAGATCATTACAATTTAAATTTTATGACCAATTTTAAAAACTGTAGAGAACAAAAGCGCATTTTGACAAAGCAGGTTTGTAATTAGTTTTTATTAGTCAGTCCTTTAATACCATTTGCCCTTTGGTCATATATATGCCCTGTGTATCTATACTTGTAACTGTTTAAATTTGCTATTGGTTGAGAACATCAGTGTCTCTGCCCATCAAAATGATCTTGTTTACATCAGTACTTTTGTGAAAGTTATTTATTTGTGAAAGAGCTCCCTTCAATTGTGTTCATCTTTTATTTTTCCTTAACATAGAATGAAACATTTAAATTTAGAGGAGATATGAAGGCACTTCCTTTTTTTAATAAGGAAATTGCTAGATACTTCCTTCATCAGACTTAAAGTACTGAGAAGAATAATTGTAAATAAAGGATTCCAACCTTTTAAAAAGGAAGGAAAAAAACTTTTTGGTGCTCCAGTGCAAGGCTATCTTTTAAAAGTCATCAATAAAGGGAAAATAAACTTTCAGCCTGGATGGTCAATTGATGGTTATATACAGTATTATTGCTAAAAACTTTTTACCTCCTGGTTTACTTGCATCTATTTTCCTTATTATTAATTTTATACCAAAATGTTATTTATATTATTTGAATTTTGCTCTTATATGGCAAAATAATTAGAGGGTTTTTAAAAATAAATCTGTGATTTCCAATAAACAACTTGAAAATTGTCAACAGATGTGTATTTTCACAAAGGCTTTTAAACTCCTGGGTGAACACTATTTGTTTATGTCATCAACTGCTTCTGTTTAATGTCAGAGAGGCCTGTAATACGTGATCTTAATCCTATTTCCTGTTCAGACTTGCTGCTGTGCCCAGGATAGAGGATTGCTGTATTCCCTGCATTGTGGAGCCATCTAAAGTACTCCTTTTGTTTGTTGAAAGGTTTCTTCTGGAATGACTAAGTGGGGGAAGTCTTCTCTCCTAATAGACTGTTCAGGAAAAGATGAAATAAGAACTATAGCCATAGTGCCTTAAGACACCATTTTCCTTTTATTTGGTATCATTAACTAGCCAAATGTTGATTCGAATTTAGCCCTAGCCTCTTTACATTAGGAATGTTCTTAGGCCTGCTCGGCACTGTTTGGTATTTCAGTAGATTTGTGCATAGTATGTGCTCATCTGCTTTTCACCTTATTCTTTCTTGATTCTTTAGCATACTAGATGGTGTGATTCAATATATATTTTTAAAACTCGGAAGCATCTGAATTATTTGGTTGCAGTAGAACTTTTTACTTGTGAGGCATGGCTGGGGTGTTTGTAGTTGGGACTAAAATGATAATTATTTGGAAGAGTTGAGTTGACCTGTATTGGGGACTTTAATTGAATACCACAGCTACAATGAGAATCAGAACAAAGAACTACTGATATACAGGGTTATTCGTTCTTCTGTAATAATGAGAGTAATGTTAGATGTCTCCTTAACAATGTTTTCCCTGCAGTGACTGCATTCTGCAATGGGACTAGCCTCAGCTTTCATTATGATGTTACTTTGCTCCAGAACTCAAAGGCTCCTTACTGCCTCCAGCATCAGATCCAATCTCTTCTACCTGGTTTTCAAGGTTTTATCTGATCTTCTCTCCCTCCTTCACTCTTTGTAGCCACCATTACCCATCACAAATTTCGTTCATGACCAACATTACCTTGCATAAACTGGTTTCCCTTTTCAGGAACACTTTTTCCTGAAGCTGTTGAAATCTTATATCTACAACCCCAATTCTGCTCTTCCATTAAGCATCTCCTCCCCTCCCTCTAAAATATTACTGAATCACATATATTATTGTGCTACCTAGGAATCATTTCATGTGTTTTTTCCCTAGCTAAAATATAAGTTCTGAAGGTAGGGACTATGCCCAGTATTATCACATAATGCTTAAAATCATTACTTTTGCCAAATATAATAAAGTAATGTTATTCTGGCAAGGGGTCCAAATGTGAGAAGAGATTAATTATTCAGAACCCTTAATGGACACTGTTATAACATTTTACCTGTACTACTTAAAAGTTTATAATTTATTCAACAAAATCTGAATGTTTACTATATGCCAAGCATATTATACCTATCCAACTGTAGCCCAACAAATTTGTATTAGTTATACATAAAAACTCAAAAGTATAAAATCAAAAGTAAAAAAGAAAATATAGCTTAAATTGTTACAGCAAAGGTATGATCTTATAGTATTTATTCAAAGCTTCTGGGAGAACAAAATGAGTAATCTCACAGTTTCTCCTATCTCCTGCTCAGTCCACTAGCTGATTTGGCCTTTTCTCAAAGCTCTTTTGTAAGAATCTTAGATAGTTTTGTTTCATTAAATGCTGTAACATTTCCTATTTGTATTTCTCATTAGAAGTATGATTTAATCTTTGCTTTGTGGCACAGTCAGTAAAGAATCTCCCTGAAATGCCGGAAACCTGGGTTCAATCCCTGGGTTGGAAAGATCCCCTGGAGAAGGAAATGGGAACCCACTCCAATATTCTTGCCTGGAGAATCCCATGGACAGGGGAGCCTGGGGGGCTACAGTCCATGGGGTGGTGGCAAAGAGTTGGACATGACTTAGTGACTAAACCACTACTATAATATAATAATTCACCAATTAACTTAAAGCATTCACTATGAGACAAACTACAATTATAAAAGTAAGTATGGTTGTAGTAATAGAGAAGTCCCGAATGATATACTGTCAATTAAGGAAAACAATAGAATGCATTGCCAAGTGTTTCATCTCAGACACAACCCAACCTAATACACTTTCATATATGCTGAATTGCGCCTTTTACTATAACTCAAAGGTTTATTTCAACCAGTAAGAGCCCACATGTTTCCCTGAATACACTTTAAGGGGAAAGAATAGCAAGTAGTCTAATTAAACTAATATTAGCTTTAATCAAGAGGCAAGTTCCAAAAGATGTTTGTTCATTTCATTACAAGCATGTTTATGGAGGACTGCTAAGAGCTAAACGTGATAGACTCTGGGGGATAAAAGTAGCTCATAAAGGAATTTGTAAGTCAAATGGTGTGGGTAAAAAAACATGACAAATGCTAGATTAGAGGTAATGGTGAGAATTCTCAGTATAAAGATTTTTTAAAAAGTGAGTTTCCTCTCATGCTTTTGGTCTTCAGTTCAGTTGCTCGGTCGTGTCCAACTCTTTGCGACCCCATGGACTGCAGCAAGCCAGGCTTCCCTGTCCATCACCAACTCCTGGAGCTTACTCAAACTCATGTCCACAGAGTCGGTGATGCCATCCAACCATCTCATCCTTTTGGTCTTAACTGCCATAATATTTAGGCTTTCTGATCAAGAGAGCATTCATATGCATGCAGACACCTTTCTGTAGGCCAAAAATAGCATCTGTGCTGCTGTCTAGTCATTGAATTGTGTAGACTCTTGTGTCAATACAATCAATACCCCTAGACTGTATTGTGCCAGGCTTCTCTGTCCATGACATTTTCCAGGAAAGAATACTGGAGTGGATAGCCATTTCCTTCTCTGGGGGATCTTCCTGACCCAGGAATAAAACCTGCATCTCCTGCACTGCAAGGCAGATTCTTTGCCACTGAGCCACCAGGGAAGCCCCCCAAATAGCATTACATTTGTATAAATTGTGTCTCTGGGGAACCTGTATCCTTTAAATGCTTTAATATCAATAATTCATATTAGCAATAGCTTTTCATTTACAATTTTCTTATTAATCCAGTGTTTTTAAAAAGCCTCTGAAGATGCCATTTTTCAGCTCCTGCTTGTTGCTTTTATGAAGTTCATGAATTTTGTTCACGGGTAAATAATGAAGGTTAGTTATTATACAGAATAAATATGTGAATTTTTCTAGGAAAGATTAGTTATGAGATTTAAAAGCGAGTATATCCCACCTTCCTCCCCCTGCCACACTCACCCCTCTAAAGGGTTAAAATTACTTCTACAAAGGGATGTGCAATCTTACCTGCTGGGAGAAAGATTTTTGGAACTGTCAGGCTGCTCTGGCTCAGGGTTCTCCGCATCATGACTGCTTTCAAGTATTTCTGCATTCTAAAGTAAAAGAAATTTTGGTATGATCATCTATTTGTTTTGGGAGGAGGGCTCTTACCTTTATTTTTATATTCCCAAATGTCTTCTCTTTCTTTGGTTAGAAATCAAAGTCTGGAGAAGTTGTGACCTGCTCAAGCTTAGAAAGAGAGCTAAAGGCAGAAGAGAAGTCTGGGGCCACTTTTCACAGGCTGGGAATCACAAGCCCGTTCCGTCACACTGCCTCCTTGGGCAGTGCAGAGTGGTCACCAAGGCAGCTGGTAAAGCCAGCTGATAGTTGGAAGCTCTGCTCCACTATGAGCCACCTCTAAGACCTGGGGCAAATTCACTGAATCTCTTGATTTCCCCCCTAGAACATGGACCCCATGCAACTGCCCGCCTTGGCCAGGCACAATAATAACCACTTGCATGAGCAGTCTCACAACAGAAGGTCCTGATGAGGAACAAAGTGCTGCTTCCGAGAGAATCCGAGGGGCCAAAAGGAAGGAGGAGGTGCCAATCCATAATATGTCCTGCCAACCTCCCAGAAACCCTTATGCTGGGATACATCTTGGCTGAGAAATGTTTGTGCCACCAGGAACGACCTTGAGTCAGACCAAATATGGGCTAAGCAAGATGACTGGCCAGAGACAACCTAGAAAGGTAACCCCATTACCATAAAACCTGAAAGCCATGTGGCAGGTTACCCTGCCATATCTGCCAAACCTGGATTTGCTTCCCCTGCTGCTCTCCACTCAAGCGCCTTCCCAAAAAACTCCCTTGCTCTGTCAGTACATGTGTCTCCTCGGACAATTCATTTCCAAGTGTTAGAGCCCACTCTTGGGCCGTGTAAGGGGGGTGGAGGGTGGTCCCCCTTCTGGTAATAGCACTATCTGCCACATAGGGTTGCAGATCTTTTTCAGAATAACACTGGACATTTAATTCTCAAGAAGAGACAAGACCCCTACTCAATTTATTTTCAAGAAAATATTTTAACAAGGACGTGAATTTGTGTATCATACTGATAGCGACGGGAGTATTGTAATAAAGGTATTAACCAAATAATGAGCAAGTATTTAATGAGCAATAATTAGCCAGCATTTGAGTTCTTCCTGCCTGCTAGGTTCTGTTTAAATGAGTTATTTTACACTGTCACAAAAGAGAGTAAAGGTTTAGAAGGGGCCCTCTTGTAAAAGTATCATTAAGGGAAATTTAATGAATAAACATAAGGATTCCTTGTAATTTGAGCTAAAAGTTGAAGGATGAGCTTTGCCCAGTCTCAGATGAACTTGCAGAACAGGTCAGAGTGACAGGCTGCTCAGAAAGATGTAGACAATGCAAGAGAATCCTCTACCTGAATTAGCAGAGCGCAGTCAACTTAAGATGGTTTTATTATCCACAATGCAGACTACAGAAACAGCAATTTAAAAATGTTCAGTGTATGAAAGAAAACCAAGGATTTTCTATCCTTTTATAAATATCTTCCCAAACCTGGTATCCTATCCAGAAAGCAGGCTAACAAATAAAGGATTTAAGATACTAGCTTTGCTAATTTAGCTCTAAAATATAAGAACAATCTTCCATTTAGTTTTTTTTTCTTTTAATATAGGATATCATTTCAATGAGAATCTAAATTTTTAGTTCCCTCTATTACATATATTTGACCAGAGACTAGGATTTATTTTTCATTTCAATCATATACAGAAGTAAATACCAGTCCTTGGATTCAAACCAATCTAGGTATTTTCACCACACTATCAAAGGTCTTTCTTCACATTTTCTATGTAATGTTGAGCTAATTACTATGGGAGTTAATGTTACACTGCATCCCTTTCTAGTTTTTCCTCTGTGATGTTACCACGATAAAAACACCACTAGACTTTGAGCTCCAGCCTTATTCACCTTTGAATCCACAACGTGCAATACCTTCAGAAAGAGTAGCTATCATTATTAACAAAACTCCCTCTCACTGTAAAACTCGATTATGCTTGTGAAATGAACTTTTTCTAACTCTAGTGATCTATTGTTAGTATGGTGGGTTATAGAGTCACTTATTTCATGACAACCTATTATAGTGATGGAAAAATAACAGTGACTCAAGGTGCAGGTGAGAAATTTGTCATCTTTTATACAGAATGATAATGCCCCTCTAATTTACAGACTGTCATGTATGAGAGGACTTCACAGGCTTGCTGAAATGGCTGGGTATGGACTTCGTTGTATCAAGCTTTGTTCTTATGGCCACATGTCAGACAGTTGGTGTCAGGGTGGAAGGAGAGTCCTCTGTCAATCAAGGTTGATGGAATACACCACCCGTGTTTTTGAGGATATATGGGAAGGACCCACAGCAGATCTGGGGACTCTTTTAATGAGAGCCTGCAGCTAACTGCACTGTATACCAGTGTTTTGCTAAGGTTTAGATGGATTAGTTTTGGTGCAGTGGCTTTCAAAATCTGACCACAGTCCACAGGAAAAATGTTTACATATTAACACACACATATATTGTGATTTATAGTTAAGAAATCGATATTTGGTTTTCATCCTATTTCTGGCACAGAGCTCCTAAAATTTCCTTTGTTAAGAGTGTCTTGATATTTATAACAAGTCCCTTTCAACCACACTTGGGTTTATGTTAATGAGGTACTTTTAGGAAGCACCTAGCCGGTTTCTCAGAAGCACAGGTGACAACTTGAGTTTGCCATTGGCCTCTGAAGGGGCTTGGGAGCAGTCTTAATAAGGCTGAGTCCTCATTGTTTGGAATCTGATGCTATCTCCAAGTAGACTGTTTGGAACTGAGTTAATTGTTTGGTGGCATTGGAAAAAACAGACAACAGATGTACATGTAACTGAAAAATGTTTGTGTGATTTCGTTATTGGATACATTCTATTTTAAATTCTATCCCATTGCACTCTATTTATTTATTTATAAATGCTAGTAAACCCACCTGAGTTCACTGTTACACTGTGACCTATACTTTGAAAATCTCTTAAAGAGTGAAAACTGAGTGAAAAACATACAAACCGAGGTATGAGAGGTAAATCTGGGTGGGAATCCCTGGCTTACTTTTTTTTTAAGTGGCCTTGGGTAGCACCGTACTTCTCTGTGAGTAAAATAGGTGTAATAGCATCTACGTCAGAAGGTTTTTGTGATTGTTGTTCAGTCACTCAGTTGGGTCCAACTCTGTGACCCCATAGATGGCAGCAGGCCAGGCTTCCCTGTCCTTCACTATCTCCTGGAGTTTGCCCAGACTCATGTCCATTGAGTCGATGATACCATCCAACCATCTCATCCTGTGTCATCCCCTTCTCCTCCTGCCTTCGATCTTTCCCAGCATCAGGGTCTTTTCCAATGATTTAGTTCTTTATAGCCAAACTATTGGAGCTTCAGCTTTAGCATCAGTCTTTCCAATGAATATTCAGGGTTGATATCCTTTAGGATTGACTGATTTGATCTCCTTGCTGTCCAAGGGATTCTCAAGAGTTTTCTCCAGCACAATTCAAAAGCATCAGTTCTTTAGTGCTCAGCTTTCTTCATGGTCCAACTCTCACATCCATACATGACTACTGAAAAAACCATAGTTTTGACTATATGGACCTTTGTTGGCAAACATTAAAATACTTAGCACAAAGGAAAAGCTTAATAAATGGCATTTATGGTTGGTTCTTTAATATCTCCTGGGTGGAGATTACAATAGGCAGTTACGTAACGCACTCAGCATGCTGATCTTCAGTAAGTGCTGGGCAGTTGCTACCTGCTCGTGTATAATAGAGCCCCCACACTTGTTACTAGCTGGGAGATGTTGGCCATATCACTTAATCTTCCTGGGTATCCATTTTCTTCTGTGTAAAATAAGGGAACTGTGGTGTTGGAGAAGACTCTTGAGAGTCCCTTGGACTGCAAGGAGATCCAACCAGTCCGTCTTAAAGGAGATCAGTCCTGGGTGTTCATTGGAAGGACTGATGCTGAAGCTGAAACTCCAATACTTTGGCCACCTCATGCGAAGAGTTGACTCATTGGAAAAGACCCTGATGCTGGGAGGGATTGGGGGCAGAAGGAGAAGGGGACGACAGAGGATGAGATGGCTGGATGGCATCCCCACTTGATGGACGTGAGTTTGAGTAAACTCTGGGAGTTGGTGATAGACAGGGAGGTCTGGTGTGCTGCGATTTATGGGGTCACAAAGAGTCGGACACGACTGAGCGACTGAACTGAACTGAACTGAAAATAAGGGAGGTGAGTAATTTGGCAATTAAATGTTCCTCTGTTTATAATATAAAATACCAACATAGGTGCTATTGCTTCCAATTTTGAGATGAAAGCCAACCTACAGCTAGAGTACTTTTGGGAAACTTTTGAATTAAGCTTCCTAAAAGGCCTATGAGGAAGAGAACATATACAAATAAATGCTTGCTTGTTTCCAAATATTGGTCCTTTGATTCAAAAAATGAGCCAAAAAAACTGACCACAGACCAACCCACCAATTGCTGCTTTATTTCTCTGTTAGGGTTATAAGCCTCACTGAATGAATTATAAAATGAGGTGATTTGAAAGCAGAACAAGTTTCTTGTGAAATCATATCCTGTTTTTCTTCAGTCACTCTTGACTTGGAAATACCCCAGGGCATCCCACAGAAGGGATTTTTCTCAGTCAACTGGTGCTGTAAAAGGGAACCAACCCATAAACTACTCCTTTGGGAGGCCAGTCAGGTGGGGAACTCCCTCCTCCTGTGTGTTCATTAATGCAGGCAAGCTGGTAGCTGCTCCAGGCCCTGCATCACTCCCGGTACCTTAGCCTCTCCCTGGTTTCAAAGTGACACCAACCCACATGCAGTTTTCCTGAATTACCTTTAATTACGACTTCCTATATCTACTCAACATAGGATCTGATTGTTTTCTCTCCCCTATACTTTGAAGAAAGACATATTTTCAAAACTTGAAAAAAATAGGCTAAGTGCCAAACCTAAAGGAATTTCGTTAAAAAAATTTTTTTCATCTCAATTTCTCTGAAGAATCTTTTTAAAACC